TGGCTACATATTTTGTACAAGTCAATTACAATTCAACGTGTGGCCAAATAAGGGTGATATAGGAAGACTATTCAAGTCTTCGATCCTGATCATACACGTGGCAGTTAGTATTGGTTATTACGAGATCTGAGTAGCAATGGATGAACAAAGAGATGCAAGGTGATGTGGCTTCAACAGTTACTCGCATTTCAAATTCAAATTTAGGAGGGAAGCTTAATTGCGAGTAATGGCGTAATGGAGCTAATATTGGGGCAACACGACCAGCGATCATGGAGGAGCAGTTCGACGGTTGGAAATGCAATTCGATGGTCATCCTCGAGCAGTATAAATAGCAAAGAAGACGCTAGAAAAAGCCCCTGGACTCAGATAAAAAAAATCAGTCTTATTCTACTTTACTTAGTTTTATATTTCCTGTTCTTTACATTCCAGTACTTTAAATTCTGCACTGCACTTCATTCATAGGAGTAGTTTCAAGTAGATTGTCACTGTAAACCTCTACGAGGTTGAGTTTGAATCATTGAAAGTTTTTCATTCTAATGAAATGCTTCAGTTGTTCTTTATTTGATTGATATTTTGCTTAATTCTCCTATATCAAGCCACCAGTAAAAGTCCTCTTCATTGAAACTGAGAGAACTAAAACACAATCGTCTGATAATTGGTTGGTAATTAAATTTCTGTAAGGACTGATCGATCCTTGCTGGCACGCTCGTAATTACAATAATAACCTTCGAAAGCCAAAAAGCCAACATATATTTTTGGCATGCCCAATGGGACATCAAGTGTAAGAAATGAAAAGTGAATTGGATTCGTCCATTTCAAATAGCCTAGATGAAATCTATTGGCGTAAACAGAAAATTTTGGATCTTCAAGAAGAGATCCATTTTATTTGTAAAACAAACTTCCATCCATTACAATATTATTTGGTGGAAGAAAAAAGACATGATTTAATTGGAGGCTTTAATGGTCAACTCTTACTACCAAGTCTTTAATTGAGGGTTTAATGGTCGGAATTGGTAAATTTTTTCAGAATTTTTTCATGGTTGAAAATAGCAAAAATAAAGAGTTGATTTCATCAATGGCTCGGGGGGTTCAAGAGCCCGTTTTTAAAGAGCCAAATTATGAAATTAACATAACAAAAGAGCATATTTTAGAGCCAAATTTGGCTAAGAATGATGTTTCATACATGGCTCGGGGGGTCCAAAAACCAATTTTTAGAGAGTCAAGTCATGAAAATAACATTCTTATGAGGGATTTTCATAAGCCATCAATGGCTAACATGGAAAAACAATCCAATTTGCCAAAGAATTATGAAAATCAATTCGGCGAAAATCATGTTTTTTAACCAAACATGATCAAGAATAATGAATAAGCCACTATTCATGAATTCAAAATTTTTGAAAATTTTCAAAGTGTAAAAAAGTATGAATTTTCATGGTCACGCTATACTATGACTTTTGTTGTTCAAAATCTATTTTGGATTTGTGGATCACATCAAACGCTGACTTTGATGGAATGGCTAGCTAATAATATTTCATTATTGAAATATATTGGGCCAAAAATATGGTTGATCCATAAAACCATCATCATTTGGTTTTGTGGTTACCTTCGAAATATGTCCCAAGACACTTCGAAGCATGTTATTCATTGAAATATCATTTTACAGCCATTAATGGCTTGTTAAAATGCCAAACTAATTTCATAGTAATCCAACTCTTTGGATTTGGTATGAAGAGATATCGTGAGCACTTTCGAAGGACGACTTTGATCCTTTAGTAACATTTGTGACTTTCGAATGGTGGTTTTGTTACCAAAAAACACCTTCGAAATGTAACATGGGGCGAGAAAATTTTCAAAATGTGTACCTTTCTTCAAATATATGTAAAATGGCAATTAATTAGTTGTCGAATAATGCCTATTTTTGGCATGATAAGTTGGTTCAAAGAACAACAGTTTTGGTGTCTTCGAAGAATTAATAATTGATTTGAAGCACAAAATTAATATTTTCGTTAATTATGTATGAACCAGAACATACAAAATTTGAATAACCACAATGTTGGCCAAAAGTTGCTTCGAAGGCCTTTTTGCCATAATTTTCTGAGCTTCGAAGCACTCCATCTTGCATTAATAGCTTCGAAGAAACAATAATGGTGGTTGTGAACCTTCGAAGCTTTGCCGAGTATTTCCAATGATGTAATTTGTCCTTTGTCGGTACTTTCAACCTTCGAAAGATAATTTTGGTCCTTTATACTACCTTCGAAGCTTGTTACTAGTCCATAATAGTTAGCATTCGAGACATCTAGTCGTAATTTCATACTCATTCGAAGCACTTTATTGGTGCTATTATATCATTCGAAGCACTTTGTTGATATTATTCGAAGTACTTTATTGCTTAGATTAGTCATGTGCTTGGTTCGGCCCTTCAAAAATTCAAATATACATCATTTTTAAGGGCCGCGGGGGGTAATGTTGGCACCATAAATTTGAAATTTTTATTATTATTTATTATTTATATAATTGCAGGACATGTGGCATCCTCCTACTCATTTGGAGGTTATGAGAAGTTATGAAGGCATGGAGGGTTATGTGGCATTATAGGAATGAAGATGGAAGAATGGGTAGTTTTAGGTGGTTATTGGGTAGTTATTGCTGGAAGTTTTTTCCTACAAATATTTGTCTATAAATAGCCATTCATGGCTACATTGTAAAGGATTCAAAATTCAAATCAAAGATAATTGATTTCAATATTTCTTGTCATTTTCCTTATCTTAGGAGTAGTTTAACATAGATTTATACTTCGAAATATTTATTTTCAGCACTTTCTTTTCGAAGCATTTTATGCACTTCCTTTTCGATGCATAGGAGTAGAGGTAAGTAATTATTACTTTGATTGTTCACTCAATCGTCTTTCTCCGTCCCTCTTTCTTCTTTTACTTTTTCTTTTCTCTACACTTGACAATTTTGAAGTCCTCTTCGTTGAGGCAAAAGAACCGTCAACACAATCGCTTGATAATTGGCTTGAATTTAATCTGTAAGGATTTTTTAATCCTTGCTGGCACGCTCGTAATTACAATAGTAACCTTCGAAAGCCAAAAAGCCAACACTACTGCTACTACTACTATTATGATTATTGCTTTGTATTAAAGTCTGTGTCACACAAAGTATTAAGAGGAACTTACAGATAGATCCAATACATAAAGTTTAAAATTAATCTAGTTCTAAAACAAAATATTTATACCAATTAGTCTTATATATTTTTAATTATTACCAAAAAATTCTATTTTAATTTTTTTTTTAAAAGATATTGATACATTCTACCACTGCTGGACTTTCGTCAAACGGTTATCGGAAACTTGTTGGAATGTTTAATATCATCAAGAAGCCACTGGAGTATCACTAGAAATTCATCAGAGTATCTCTGGAGTGTTCTGAACATCACTAAAATTCATCGGAATGTCTAGAATATTTACTGTATGTCAAAAATATTGCCGGAGATTCAACGAAATGTCTAGAATATTGTCAAAAAATTTTTTTTTTGAAAAATTAGAGCAAAAAAACATAGCAAAATGTGCTAAATATTGATAAACTAGAAATAGAAGGAAAAAAAATACCTAACAACAACAATGGAAAAAAACATATATTATTTTCAACTTTTATAGGGTTTAAGCAAATAATCTCCAATATTTGATTAAACTAAAAAATAAGCTTTTTTTTTTTTTTTTTCTTATCAGCAAAACGAAAGACTTTATTGATGCTAAAACCAACAAAATGAAGGATACATCAATAAAGAGGAGCTTGGAGCTAATCAGAGCTCCAACCTCCTAGTTGGTGAGAAACCAACAGAGAAAACAAAAGATTACAACAGAGCAATAAAGTCCAATTAGCAACAGCCAGAACATAACACATTTGTAGCAAGAAAAGAAGCTCTAACAGAGCAATCAACAGCAAAACCCCATTAGCAGCACAAAAAATTCTATTTTAATTTTTTTTTTAAAAGATATTGATACATTCTACCACTGCTGGACTTTCGTCAAACGGTTATCGGAAACTTGTTGGAATGTTTAATATCATCAAGAAGCCACTGGAGTATCACTAGAAATTCATCAGAGTATCTCTGGAGTGTTCTGAACATCACTAAAATTCATCGGAATGTCTAGAATATTTACTGTATGTCAAAAATATTGCCGGAGATTCAACGAAATGTCTAGAATATTGTCAAAAAATTTTTTTTTTGAAAAATTAGAGCAAAAAAACATAGCAAAATGTGCTAAATATTGATAAACTAGAAATAGAAGGAAAAAAAAAAATACCTAACAACAACAATGGAAAAAAACATATATTATTTTCAACTTTTATAGGGTTTAAACAAATAATCTCCAATATTTGATTAAACTAAAAAATAAGCTTTTTTTTTTTCTTATCAGCAAAACGAAAGACTTTATTGATGCTAAAACCAACAAAATGAAGGATACATCAATAAAGAGGAACTTGGAGCTAATCAGAGCTCCAACCTCCTAGTTGGTGAGAAACCAACAGAGAAAACAAAAGATTACAACAGAGCAATAAAGTCCAATTAGCAACAGCCAGAACAGAACACATTTGTAGCAAGAAAAGAAGCTCTAACAGAGCAATCAACAGCAAAACCCCATTAGCAGCAAAAGAACACATTTGCAGCAAGAGAACATGCTCCAACCTCAGCAGATCAGCAACCCTAGCAGAGCATTATACCAAAACAGGAAAACCAGATCAGCAACCCCAACTGATCTGCAGGTAAACAAATAAACTAGATAGACAAATAGCCCAGCCAGATGCAAATTAGCCACTGATGGCAATCCACGAGACAAACCAGATACAAATCCAGATTGAACCAAAACAAAACAGATGCAAATCCAGGACAAATTAGCAGTTCAAACCAAAACAAAACCCTCTGCTATTCCAACCCAAAACAGATTAGCAGTCGAATTGAAAGATGATAAAGCTCTGGAGACAACCAGCCAGCCCATCTAATGATTTGTAAAACCAGCTCTAATTTGTCTCCAATTGAAGGTTAGGTCATCAATTGAGAAGGGAAGGTCTTTAATGGTTGCTTTCAGCCATAGTACAGCTCTGATTTTGATAGATTCACTCATATTTGAAAATTTTGGTTGAGCCTTTTCGAAAATACATTTGTTTCTACATTTCCACAACGACCAAAGAACAATGAGTGGGTTAGCTCTCCAAATTAATCTATCAAAGTGCTTGAAGTTTACACTCATCCACCATTGGAGAAGGCCATCAACTGAATCTTGAATGCACCAAGAAAGCCCCCATTCGTGAATAATTGAAGACCAGATCAACCAAGAAAAGGGATAGTGAAGCAAGACATGGGAAGCAGATTCAGAGTCATAGACACAAAAGGTGCAACTGATGGAGATAGAAGGGTCTAAAATACCAATTCTGTGCATAAATTCTGCTGACTTAATTTTGTTCTTCCAAGCCAACCAACAGAAAAAAGAAACCTTAAGGGGGACAGCTCTATTCCAAATATGATTATAGATTGGAAGATGAGGACCAAGGGTGGAATTACTGAAAGAGTATATTGAAGAAACAGAAAACTCACCAGTGCTTGCAGTAGCACAAGCCCAAAAATAACAATTTGCTTTGTGAGGAGACAGAGAAGGGGCTGAAGATAGGGCTCCAAGCAAACTAGATTCTTCATCCAATTCCCAAGTAAACATCACTCTTCTAATAGGAAAATTCCAATTGTTTGGGCTGGTTTTCCTTGCAAAGTATTGATGAAGAGAACCATCTTTATCAGTTGAGAGATTGAAAATGAGGGGAAATTCATTCTTAAGGCAAGTGTTGCCACACCATTTGTCATGCCAAAACTTAATTCTATTTCCGCCCCCCACTTTAATTTGACAATTATCCACATAAAAATTGAAAATATTACTGCTATGATTCCCGATAGATAAGATGTCTTTCCAAACTCTAGAATGTTTGTAAGAGAATCTTACTGGTGGATTCGAACAAGCTTCATCTATCTTGTATTTGCTACATATAGCCCTCCTCTAAAGAGAGTTAATTTGAGTTCCGAATTTCCACCACCATTTAAGCAATAGACATGCATTTACATCTCTGATTCTTTTAATGCCCAGACCCCATTGATTAATGCTTTTTTCGGCCTTCCCCCATTTCGCTAAATGAACTTTTCTTTTCAGGTCATTACCACCCCATAAAAAAGTTGATTCAATCCTCTCGATTTCTCTGGCCACACCTTCTGGCATCTTAAATAAAGAGAGAAAATAAACTGGTAAACTAGATAATGTGGACTTGATTAGAGTTAATCTACCTGCAAAAGACAACAGTTTTCTCTTCCACCCCGAGAGTTTGGATCTGAATTTGTCAAGCACAGGTTTCCATGTAGATTTTCTCCCGGGGTTGGCTCCAAGAGGTAGGCCCAGAAATCTCAGAGATAGGCTATGAACTTGACAGTTGAGGAGCTTTGCAAAGGAGAGCAAGAGAGCATCATCAACACCAACACCACACACCACACTTTTGCGATAATTTATTCTAAGACTAGATAAAACTTCGAAGCATCTTAGAACTCTTTTAATAAGCACCATATGATCCCAATCTACTTCAGAAAAGATAATTTAGTCATCTGCAAATTGCAGATGAGACAAAAGAGCATCCTTTGACCCAACGAGCACTCCTCTAAGTATGCCAAGATTAATTGCTCTGTCCAAAAGAATGTTAAGACCTTCAGACATAGTATTGAACAGAAAAGGTGAGAGCGGGTCACCCTGTCTAAGACCTCTTTGTGGTGCGAATTCGGTAGTTGGTGAACCGTTCACAAGAATGGAGATTCTAACCGAAGAAACATAAGTTTTTATCCAAGAAATCCATTTATTCCCAAACCCAAAATTGGACAAAAGAGAAAATAGGAATTCCCAGTTCACAGAATCAAAGGCTTTCTCGAAGTCTAGCTTTAAGATCAGACCAAACTTCTTAGACTTTTTCCATCCATCCACCACTTCATTGGCAATGAAAACCCCATCTAGGATGTTCCTCCCACCTATGAATGCAGTTTGTGTTTCACCAATGATGGTGGGTAGAACTGGCTTCAATCTATGTGTTAATACTTTAGCCAGAATTTTGTAAAGGGAACTTACAAGACTGATGGGTCTGAATTCAGACAGGCCAGTGGGATTGTCCATCTTGGGAATTAGACTAATAAAAGTGCTATTGATGCCATAGGTCAGTTTGCTATTTGAATGGAAGTCTGCAAAAAATTGCATAATCTCAGTCTTCATTACCTTCCAAAATTTCTGATAACACAGCAAGTTAAAACCATCAGGGCCTAGAGCTTTGTTGCTATTGCAATCCTTAATTGTAGCCAATACTTTAGCATCACTAAACTCTGAGACAAGGTGATGAGAAACATTGTCTGTCCCAATGGTCTTGAATACCCCTCCCAAGACAGGTCTTTTACCCCAATCCTCCGCAAACTGTTTCTTGAAGTGTTGATTGACCTCAAATTTAACCCTGTTAGGATCCTCATAAGATACCCCATTAACTTCAATAGAGTTGATCATGTTCCTGCTCTATCTGGCATTGGCAAAAACATGGAAAAACCTAGTATTCTTATCCCTATTTAGTGTCCAGTTCAATCTGGATTTTTGATGCCAAATCCACTCAACCTTTCTGTGCAGCTTCCACATCTCTCGTCAGACCACTCTTCTTCTTGCCATTTCAGCTTGAACCAGAGGTCTTTTTTCTGCCAATATATCAAATGCATGCAATTACTCTTCTGAAATTTTGAGTTTAGATGAGACATTGCCAAATACCTCAACATTCCATTTCATTAATTCTAGCTTTAGATGCTTTAGTTTTTGAACAAGTATGTAGCTAGCCCATCCAGTGACCGAAGTGCTGCTCCAGATATCGACAAAGAATTTGGAATAGCTTGGATGAAGAGTCCAGGCAATTTGAAACCTGAAAGGTCTGGGTCCCCAATCTCTTTCATCTTCCATCATCAATAAAGGACAGTGGTCTGAAATTAATTTAGGCAGTCCCTATAGCTTCATTCCGAAATTAATCAGCCACTCAGGGCCAAGCAGAACTCTATCTATACGGCTCCATTTCTCAGATTCCTGGGCATTACACCAAGTGTATTTCCTTCCATGAAGAGGTAAATCATTGAGCTCACATTTCCCAATAAACTCATTAAGATGATGCATCCCCTTATCCCTCCTGGAGCAACCTACATTTTCTCCTATATGCCTAATTTCATTAAAGTCCCCATTCATATACTAATGAGCGGGGAAATGGTCTTTAAGCTTGAGGATATCAACCCATAGAGTTGATCTAGCACTGATATCATTTGGTGCATATATGTTGATCAAAACACAGTCAAAAGAGTTGTACAGGGAGATAGAAAGCAAGATGTACCTCCTATTACAACAGCAACCAGAGAGTTGGAAGACAGCAGGGTCCCAAATACATAGAAGCCCACCAGCAGAGCCTTCAAGATCCACAGACATGTGTTCCATATTTCTGCATCCCCAGAGCCTTCTAACAGCATTATCAGAAACATTTGCTTTCTTAATCTCTTGAAGGAAAACAATATCAACATGCTTGTCTTTTATAAAAATTTTGATTCTGCCCTTCTTCTCAGGTTTACCCAAACCCCTAATAAGCTTTGAAACTGTAAAATGTCACAATTTCAAAGTACAATTCTATTAAGCTTTTATTTTTATTAATGAAACAAAAAAATATGTTATAAAACTACAAAATTTTACAGAAAGTTATGAAACTACAAAATTTTACAATTCTAAATAACGATTCATTTCAGCACCAAAAAAACTGAAACAGTAAATTTTTACAGTTTTCATCATTTGTAACTAAAACTCAAAACAATTTGTTCAGAACTTGAAATTTTTCTCTATTAAAAAAGGAAAATAGAAGTGTGTAGTATAGAAAAAGTAAAAATAAAAATAAAAATGAGAGATTGAATGAAAGAGACAAATATAGAGAGAGACTTGTATTACAATATCTATTTTTGACTTAGATCTAGTCGGATTTGACTTAGATCTACTCAGATCAAATTTGACTAGATCTAATCATCTTCTTTGTCAAAAATTCATCTCCTTCACCGTCAGTGAACGCGAAACAAGGAGTCGGTACTTAGTGGTTGCCGGTGAACCTCAATCAATGGTGGTCGCTGATTGCCAGTGATTGCAAATTAGAAAGGAAAAGAAAAGAAGGAAAGCGTGGTCGTGATCTTCACTAAATATCAGAGAAAGAGAGATAAAAAGAAGAAGCAATGTGTAGAGAAAGATGAAAAAATAAATGGGTACAAGACTTTTGGGTCTATCTAAAAAATTTTAGAATTAAATAGAATACAAACTTTTCAAAAAGGACTTGTAGGTAATTTGTCCAAATATTAAGAACTCACAAAAAAAGTGGCTTCATGGGCCAAAAACTTGCCAAAAAACAAATGCATAGACCTTACAAAAACTCCCTCTAACGGTCATCCAATTCATTGAAAAAAAAATAATAATAAAATGAAAAAAACTGAAGCTTATGCCAAATTTGAATTAAAGTTTGACAAAATTATTCTGTCATAACAATTATTTTTGCTAAAAACCCAATTGTTTTTCTATACTGGTGTTCACTGCTTCCATTAATCAAAACTTACAGATAGAAAATTAAAATTCAAAAAAATCTACAAATTGTATAAAATCCAAGGTACTAAAAATTATAATTACAAAAGTTAAATTATCCCAATAATCACAATTTATCCATCTTCAAAACAATAAATATATACCCATCTAGATCAATGAGAGAGGAATGGTTCGGTTGATCTTTAGTTGGAAAATAGTGATGTGTAAATTGGTTATGCAAAGTAACAAGTCATCAAGTGAGTCAAAATATTTTTTTATTTTTTAATTTTTTTTTTCTCTGCAAGTAACAAAATCAAAAAATAATTTTGACAAAGTCATTTTGACTTTGACAATTAGATTTGTTCTAAAATTGGAGTTAATCCTATTTAATATTTTTTCATCCAATCATTATTTAACAGTTGACCAAAATATTATAATTTAACAACTAGTTGTAATTCGTAATAATGACTAACGATTAAATTGTGATATTTAGAACAACTGATGAATGAAGAAAGGGCTGGAAAGTGTCCTCTTCCTACTGAGGAAGAGAGCTTTGTTACTTTCTTAATTATCCCAATTAAGCTTAGACTGTTTGTTTTCTTTGAGGACTTGATACTACATTAATAAGAAATGTTAGTTTCGACAAGTTATCCTTCCCTTTGTAGGTACTTCATCGTGACTTTTTTGAAAGATGCTTAACAAAAAGTCATAAAAATTAAAAAAATAAGTATTATATATATACCAAGCAACTTACAAAAGCATCTATAACGTTCAAGTGACTCAAAATTTGTAATTGGCGGTTGCATTTTGGCAAGTAAGGTGGTACTTGTAATGAAATATTTTGTATCATTATAAACATTGTGCTAATGGCAATCTTGTATGTTATTTTTAATGAGGACAATAATGTTGGGTAAATTACACTTTGTTTCTTAAAGTTTCACCTATTTTTCACTTTGGCCTTTTAAGTTTGATTTTTTTTTTTTTTTCATTTTAGCTCTTTATGTTTACAATTCTTCTCACTTTAGTCATTCATGTTTGCAAGTATTTCTACTTTCACCTTTTAAGTTTGGTTTTTCCTACTTTGGCTCTTCATATAATCCTCCCACTTTGGCCCTTCATGTTTGCAATCCTACTCATTTTACTCCTAGACTAACTTCCATATAAAAAGGTAACAGAATTTGTCACGTCACTAACACATCAACTCTATATGTGATGTAAAAAATTCACTAAAGATGTAAAAAATAAAAAAATAAAAAAACAAAAAGATTAGAATTTTTTTTTAGTCTTTAGTGAACTTTTTTTTTCTTCAAATTTATTCATAAACATCATTACATTATAGATGCATCTATATTAGATGTAGCTAAAAAAATAAAAACAAATTTAAGTAAAAAAAGAAAAAAAATTAACTAAAGACAAAAAAAATGATAGTAAATTTTTCATTTCACAATTGACAATAAAGGTGTTTGAGTCAGTATACTTTCATTTTTTTTGTATTTAGTAAACTTTTTTCTTTTTTTTAGTTAAATTTGTTTTTATTTTTTTAGTTGCATTTAATCTAGATGCATCTATAATGTAATAATGTTTATGGATAAATTTGAAAAAAAAAAAAAAGGTAACTAAAGACTAAAAAAAAATTTCAATTTTTTTGTTTTCTATTTTTTATTTTTTTGCATCTTTAGTTATTTTTTCATCACTCATGGAGTTGATGTGTTAGTAATGTGACAGATTCTATTAGTTTTTTGGATGAAAGTTAGTCTAGGAATAAAGTGGGAAGGATTGCAAATATGAAAGGCCAAAGTGGGATGGATTGCCAACATGAAGGGCCAAAATGGGAAAAATTAAACTTATTTAAAAGATCAAAGTGGGAAGGATTGCAAACATGAAGGGTTAAAGTGAGAAAAATTAAACTTAAAAGGCCAAAGTAAAAAATATGTGAAACTTTAGAGGGACAAAGTGTA